AGTATAAATCCTAAATGTAGCCGTCTCTTCTACTCCAATAGCTTCATATCTCGCACCTCTCGCCTGTGGAACTCCCTTCCAGTTTCCCTGAGAGCTATAATCTCCAGCTATTCAAGTGTAATGTCAATCGACATCTCCAGTTGCCTTGATCTTTCCACTACCCTCCTCCTCATCCTTTCTTCTATCACTCCTATCTGATCTTGCTCTAAATTTTCTGTAACCCCTTGCGTTCTAGTGGCTCCCCGCCTTGCTTTGGGTGAAATGCTTAAAAAAAAAAAAGTGTCCTTTTTGTTTCCATTTTCTTCTAAAATTTCGTCGTTGCTTACATATTCAGTTTTGTGATGTCAACGAACACTCGTTGTCACTTTCGTAATGCTCGTTGTAGTAGAGACTTTGTAATCGCAGATACAACTATAGTAACGCCGTTGAACAATACCGGTGTCAGACGCCTTCGAATAGCACTCACACTAATAGTATTTGTTCGATAATTCACGCTCGAAAAGTAACCATCGAATAGTGATCCGAATAAAGGAATAGTATAGAGGATAGACTAGAGAATAGCGGTCCGTATAGTATAGAGGATAGACTAGAAATGCGATCGATTGGACGTCACGCTACCTTTCAACTTATGCGTTTCCCCAATGGTCACGTAATCCACTTCATTCAATAATGGGATCGCCTGTATTTACTCACTGGCGATCAATGTTCAAACCCAAATATCGGCAGCGGCACTTTAGTCCTATATAACAGTATTTTCAGCATCAGTAGAATCTTTTTTTTTTTTAATCAATTCACCCCCAAGCAAAGAAGTAGTTAGCACGAAGACTCAAGGATCGTAGAGAGAAAAGGAAAAGCTTAGCCATGGTTAACAATTTATTTGAATTTTTTTTGGCAAGGAGAATGAGTTTATCTGAATTTTTTTTTTTTAATCAATATTATATGTTTCCAATTTACGGAGAACTGAGACCAATCCCTCTTAAGCTCGAACAGGTTGTTGGTTACTGCCACCGAGCGGACAGAAAAATCGTCTCATCCTTACTCCTATGGCATCCTTCTAGAAGACTCACGAAAATTGAACTTTCAGACACCATAGTTCGGGACTCAGTGTTGGACATTGGGGATTTTGGGGACAGAAATACAGGATCGAAGGAAGATTGTCAATATTATATTATAGCCAGGGTTAATATAAAAATATTTGATCCACTTGGTCAATATATTTAATTTCAAGAGCAAATTAGTACACAATAAAATCCCAGATTATTTTAAATTTCTTATGAAAAACCGACGAAACTGTCATCTTATTCAGCCCCGGTATATAGAGTTTTCGGAATTAGAAATTTTTGTCGAAGAACTCATACAGAATTTATTTTCAGTCCAGACGAAATGCGTAGTCAGTCAGAGAGAGTGGAAGGTATATTTGTCTTAAAGGGAAGAGGTTTTATAAAATTAAACCGGATATTAACCTTATGACATTAAATTGGGGTTATATGAAGAATGAAGTGTTAATTTGAAACTGAACGAGAAACGAAAAATACTCATTTTGAATTTTTTATGTATAATATATATATATTATTAACAATTTCTTAGTAATTTCTTTACTTTAACTGTCCTTTACGGAGACGGATGCCATTTTTTGGACGCTTGAGATGTTTTAAGGCTTTTAATCATTTGAACCACTTTTTTAAATAATATTGAATTATATGTCATATGTGGGAGTCATCAGGATTTTTAGAGATGCTTAGGCCAGGGTGGGGATAACTGCTTTAGGACACAGAAACCCAGTCTCTATCTATAAAAGTCAGGATGTGTGTGTGTGTGTGTGTGTCCCACTAATGAATGCACGGCTGCAATTTTCGACGGATTTGCACCAAAAACATGCACATGCTCTCAAGCGGAAGGCCAAGATTGACATTGTATTTCCAACTCCCATCGATAGTGGAAATAATCGATTTTTTCATGCTTCTACGGCTGTTTTCCTGTAGTTTGCGGTCATTTTTTACTGGCCAGAGTGAGAGTCAAACGAATAGGCAGGAAGATTCTATTGGCCAGCGTGAGAGACAACAGCTGACTGACACGAATGTTAATTAGCATGCTAGCATGCAAAAAAAATCGATAGCTGCATTCGTCACAAGTGGGAAAAATTTAAATCTGCATGGCATTTTACTCCAATTGGCTCATTCGCTTGCTTAAACTCAACATTGATTTTGATTCCGCAGAACTGTTGGATGTTAAAAGTATTTGTTGTTAACATTTTTTTCATTCGGTTTTTCCAGTTACGAGTTGTTTTTTTTTTTAAAGCTGATCGTTTTGTGTTCATTTTGTTTAGTTCTTTTTTCGTAACAGATTTAATGTTTAGTATAGAGCTTAGAAAAAATTCGCAGTGTGAAATAGGCAAGAAGTAAGGCATGTAGCAACATCATCACGGCAAAGGACACTCCTTTAAAGGCAAGGAAGGGCAAAAATATTTTAAGTCAAGTGATAGCGATTGCTGTATGAGTCGTAACGATTTTTTGAATGATTCACGGGCAACGCCGGGCCATGCTGCTAGTGATAGTATAGTTTTCAGATTTTAGCCAGAAACGTTAATAGTATAGAGTTGAGGTAGAATTTAGAATGAACTGGAAACCCAATCCTAAACAGGAAACGTCTAACAAACGCCTGCTCCTTATATTAATGCTAGTTGACCAATGTCATAAAACATGAGAGTCCTTCAAGATGTGGTTGTCACAGTTTCCTTTTCCTTTTGTAGCTCTTGTAAATGTTGTCTTTTCTGAAAACCCAATTTAAAAAAAAATACAGGTTCGTTAGGCAGATTAGGCGCTGTTTTTCCTCTGTACCTCCTGCCTTCAATATGTCCCATGAGTGTGTCAAACTTTCTAAGCCCTTTCCTCGTCATGTACCCTAGAAATATTCTTATTTATTTTCATGCAAATTTTTTCCTTTTTTTTGATAAATTATGATTTTTTATCTGCCTTTTCACATAGAGGATTTTTTTATAAAATAAATAAACATCATCGAACAGTTCGCCTTTATCATAACAAAGACACTGACATCGGACGTCGCTAATACAAAGGGAGATAACTCTACTAGATAAAAATTACAAGTAAAAGCTATCATTTCATACAATCTCTTTAATAATCTCTTAATATAATATGTCCATTTACAGGCTGTCTCTATAGACAAAAATGCATATTTTCAAGAAATTAAATTTTCAACATTTTATCAATTGGAATATTAACAGATATCATCTTCAATATGATTTCCATCATTTGTGATGCAAAGGTTGATGCACTGTGCAAGATTCACGTGACTTCGATGCAATAATTCCACACCGACGTCAATTTTAGCACATTCACTCTTTATGCGTTCAATCAAGTGTGTTGCATCTGTGATCTTCATTGAGTACACCTTCTCCTTTAGCATGCCCCCGAAAAAGAAGACAGTTCTTTCTTCTTTCGAAAAAAACATGTTTTATCTGTGGAGGTCAAAGACATCTAGTGAATGAGATTTCCTATGTGTCCAGACATTAAAGACAATGGATATATTATATTAAGAGATTATGATTGTTGTTAACATTATTATTAATATTATTATTATTATTAAGTAAAGACATTAGAAGTTAAAAAAAATGTCCTAATAGCATGAGATCACAGCTTTGAGACACTCAGTGCGGCTCAAACTCGCAGCAATTGAAATAGTGATCTCTTTACTAACTACGCTTTTATGGTAGCCCCGGTTACAGGCGTGTGTCACCCAGTGAGGATCGAACACATTGCAGCAGTTCAGAAAATGTGATTAGAAACAAAGAAAAGAGTACTGAGCTGTTAAGTAATATCAGTCCTCCTATATGGCAGTGAATGCTGGATAATCTCCTCAGAGAAAAAGAAAAGACTTCAAGCAAAGAGAAAAGTGGTTCTACAGGAGGATGTTGAGGATACCACGGACCGAACAGGTGAGCAATGATGAAACTTTAAAGAAAATGGAAACAAAAAGGACACTTAGAATCAGAAAGAATGAGTTGAAATTTCTAGGGCGCATCATGAGGAAAGAGGGCTTGGAAAATCTGATACTCACAGGAAAAATTGGCGAAAAGATTGACAGAGGTAAACAACGCATCACCTGCCTGGAGTGTTTGAATGGTAAATGAATGACGGAACATTATTTGGGGAAAAATGTTTCATTTTCAGACTTGTTTTTTATTGTTTTTATAATAAGTAAAAAAAAAAACTGGAGCATCTTGAAGTACCCGAACCTTGGCTAACACCTCTACCAGACCTATGAGTTAACAACTGAACTTGTTTGACGCTCAGAAGGGCATAAAAAGAATCAAGATCGACGTATAAACAGGTCTGTAGCTCGTTTTTGAACGGTATGTTTCAGACGTGTTTATTCGTCCATATCTGAAAAGGGACACTTTCGGTAAAAACGTCTACACGTCTACGCCGTGGAAGAGGTTAAGAGAGAGAGAGAGAGAGAGAGAGAGAGAGAGCAAAAAGACATTTATTAAGAGCTACAAAGGGCAGGAAATTGTGGAGAGCCATGATCGTCCACGTCTGAGCTGGAACACGGCACACAAAAGAAGTCTAGCTCGTTAACCATTACTTCAAGGAAAGGCGCCAAGTCGTCGCTGTAATGATGAATGTTAGATTTGCCATTTCTTAGCATCATCAGTAATAGATGTCATTTTTTTTTAAGAGCCTCTCACTAGAACGACAGTAGCGGGAGTAAACGTCTATCAATAAGCAAATATAGTTACCAAGAAAACAGGAAAATCTCACACACGCATATATATATATATATATATATATATACACACACACACACACACTTACGTGTGTTGCCAAGCACACTATCATTTATTATCATTGCAACGTTGTTCTTGCCAATTCTGTCCGTCGCGCGAGAAAATGAATGAATGATATGCGACATTCGGTAAGGTTTGAAACGAGGGTGGGGGCCAGCGAAAGAACTCGGGGGTGGGTGTCTGGCAGGTTTTCGTGATGGCGCGAACGGAACTATTCCCGATGTCTCGTCTGCAAACAGAGGCACTAAACAGAAAAATCACCTTCATTATCCAACGAAGGCGACTACCACGACGACGACATTATAACAATAAAACGAAACAAGTCAACGAAACTGGAGTTTGTGTAAATGACGAGGAAATACATTCTTCTTATGGAGTTTTATTTGATTTCTTTTTATTTATTTCTTTTTCTTTTTTTTTTTTGCCTTCCTTAATTTTACTGTATTCCTTTCTTTTTTTCTTTTTTTTTCTCTCTTTATTTTGTTTTCGTTCTTTCCTTCCATATTGTCAGTCTTTTCTTTCAAATGGCCGAATATGAATGCGCCGAGTGAATTTTTTTTCTTTCTTTTTTTTTTTGTCCCGACCTTTCTTTCTTTCTTTCTTTTTGAAAGTTCGTAAAAGATAGATAACAAAAACAAAACAAAAAAAAAAGAAGAAAACCCCAAACTTTTTCAGATTTTCTTTACTTCTTCTTCGTCGTTAGTTTTTGTTTCCTCTTTTTCTTCCGCTCTTTCCACAGCAGTTTTCTTTCTTTCTTGTTTCTCCTCTTTCTTCACGATTGCAAACTTCTTTCCTTTTCTTCTTAACTTACTGACTGTCCCTTTCTTTTCCTCTTTTCCTTTCTTTTTCTTTCTCTACCTCTTTGTCCTTCCTTTTGCTTTGTTCTTTTTCCTTCTTTTCCTCTTTTTCCTTCTTTTCCTCTTTTTCCTTCTTTTCCTCTTTTTCCTTCTTTTCCTCTTTTTCTTTCTTTTCCTCTTTTTCTTTCTTTTCCTCTTTTTCTTTCTTTTCCTCTTTTTCTTTCTTTTTCTTTGTTTTTTATTTTCCTCTTTTTCTTTCTTTTCCTCTGTTCTTTTCCTCTTTTTCTTTTTTTTCCTCTTTTTCTTTTTTTTCCTTTTTCTTTTCTCTTTTCTTTCTTTTACTCTTTTTCTTCTTTTTTGCTTTTTTCCTTCTTTTCCCTTTCTTTTTGGATTATTCTTTTTTACTCTTTCTTTTTAACCATTGAAAAAAAAACGTCGCTAACACGTGACGCCTTCTCACGTCGCAGACTTATTCTTTCTATTTGTCTTTCATTCTTTTTCTTAACCATCTACTGTTCTCTTTCATTTCCCATTTCTTCCAACTTATTCTTTTCTCTCACTATTGTACCTTTTTTTTTTCTTCATTGACAAGAGTCTTCGCTCTCGTCTTTCTTTAATAAACTTTTCATCAATCTTTTCCTCGACTGCTTTTTATGTTCTATCGTTATTTTTTCTCCTCCTCTTCTTCATAATTTATCTCATTTGTTTCTTCTTCATCTTTATCTCAGTCACTAACTTCTGTTTCCTTTTCCTCTTTTTTTTTCTCTGTCGATTTCCTTTCTATATTTATTTCTTCAGTTTTTGTTTCACCTTTCTTTCTTTCTCTCTTTCTTTCTCTCTTTCTTTCTTTCTCTCTCTTTCTTTCTTTCTCTCTTTTTCTTTCTTTTTCTCTTTTTCTTTCTCTCTTTCTTTCTCTCTCTCTTTCTCTTTTTCTTTCTTTCTTTCTCTCTCTCTTTCTCTCTTTCTCTCTTTCTTTCTTTCTCTCTTTTTCTTTTTTTCTTTCTTTCTCTCTTTCTTTCTCTCTCTCTCTTTCTTTCTTTCACATTTGCCCCTTTCTGTTTCTTCTCTTTTTGTACCTTCATCAGAATTTGTTTCTCTTTGTTGTTGTTGTTCTTCTTCTTCTTCAAGGTTGTTTGCTCCTGTTTCCCCCTCTTTTCTTTCTTTCTCTCTTACTTCTCTTTATTCTTCTTGTTCTCAGGCTGTCTTCCTTTGTTTCCTTTTCTTTTTCTTCCCCACAATCTCTTTCTTTCTTCTTCTTCTTCGCGGTTAATAACTTCTTTTTCCTCTTCTTATGCTCTACTTCTCCACATTCTCTTTATTTCTCTCTCTATTCTTCACAGTCGCTGGCTTCTTTTTTTCTTTTTTTTTTTGTTTCTTTTCTTCTTCTTTATTTTTTTTCTATTCTCTTTTACTTCTTCATCGCAGTCATTATTTTTCTATCTAACACACAAACCCCACTACATTTATCTTTTTCGACCATCGCTCATCGTTCTTCTTTTTCTGCGGGAATCTTTCATCCACCTCCTTTCTCTAAACTTCGCATCACTCACTCGCTGTCGACTTAAACGGTCACAGGAGACAAGGCCAAGATACAAGTATCTACTGTTGTGTCGCATAGTTTTGTTCTGTAACGTAATGGCAATCTATCATTTCAGAACGCACAGTTCGAAAGGAAACCAGCAAAGAAAAGCCAAAAAAAAAATGTTGTTTCAAAACGACGTTGATGGTTCTTGATATTATTATGTCGACCAAGCTGTGCAGTCGGGAGTAATCGCAACAAGTTCATCTCTTGTGTACTTCTCGTTTGATAGACTTGATCAAAGGTGGCAGGTCTGTTGCCTGTTTCAACGAAACGACTTCCTTTATTTTATTTTATTTTTAAACCCATCCATAACTGTGTTGGTTCCGCAAAAGAGGGCTCTTAAAATCCCTTTGCTTTGACGTTCCCTCCTCCTCATTCGTTTTATATTTCCCGTCGGCAAAGGAAAAAACAAATCAAGTAGTTTTTTTTGTTTTTAGGTAAGATAAGAATGTGTTCTGTCATTCTCTGTGTATCTGTTTGTGTGCCATATCCATTCAGGGCGTGATCGATCACGGTTCTCCACAGCTTTCTGTCTTTTCTTTTTCTTCGTAACATTTGTGAACCTTCTTAAACAGTGTCGTCAAATCTAGACTCTCTTATGGATGTCATGGCGTCTGATTCACTGCCATTTATATACAACCTTTTTCTCAGTTCGATGATTGAAAAAAATTGGTTAAAACAATTTATTTAATCATTTCACTCCAAGCAAGGCAATAAAGCAGCTCGGACGCAAATGGTGAAATATTAGAAGAAAAGCATTATTAAGAAGAGAAAATAATAAAAGAACAGGAATTATATGGACACTTAGAATCAAACAGAGACTCTTGATGAGGGGGATGTAATTTTACAATCAAGTCTCCTGAAGAGTGGATGTAATTCTACGAAATTCAAACAAGAAACAAGAAAAGTTAACAATTGATCTTATATTAAAAATCCAAAACTACCTTATACGGAAAAAAAAAATTTCGATTCACAGATTTTCTTGTGGACCTTATCAATTCAGAAATGTTAGGAAATGAGATAAGAGCTTAAAATTTAAACATTTAAAGAGTAAAAGAAGACGAGGAAGATAGAAAAGGAAAAAGAAAACAGAAAGAAAAAAGAAAGAAAGAGGAGAGAGTGGGAGCAACAACAGATAAATGTCTAGACATAAGTTTACAAAGATTTCCAATATTATAGTGAAAATCTAGACATTAAAGGAATAAAGGAAGAGGAAGGCAATAAAGCCACTAAGACAAAAGGGGTTACAGAGTGAAAGAGTATACGAGAAAAAAACATTAAGAAGGAGAACAATAAAAGAACAGGAATTAATAAGACAGAAGATAATGACTGACATTGCATTTAAATTTTTGAAGATCAGATTTTGGACAATTTGTGCATAAATTATGCCAACAGAAGAAAACTCTTGTTTGCATACAAGAAAAATAAGGAAAAAATTTAAGCAAAATGCCTTATCAGTCATTTTTAATTAAACATGCATATATAAATGAGAAAAAACTCAAACAAAAATTTAAATATCTATGGAGTGTTTTAGCAAAGGATGAAAAATGTCGACATTGAAATTGGTAGGTTTAAATTGGGATAGGCAAAGTACCTTCCATAAGCTGAGCAAAGATTACTGATTTACTAATATCAGTCCTCCTATATGACAGTGAATGCCGGACAAAGTTTTCACAGAAGAAGAGACTTGAAGCAATAGAAATGTGGTTCTACAGAAGGATACTGAGAATACCATGTACTGAACATATGAGCAACAACAAAGCTTGAGAGAAAATGAAAATAAAAAAGGATACTCATAGTTAGAATCAGAAAGAAACTTAAAATTTCAAGGACAAATAATGAGGATAGAGGGCTTGGAAAATTTGGCACTGACAGTACATACTGAAGGCAAGGGGGTTGGGTGGGTTTGTTTAGCAACATATCAACTACTTATGGGTCATTTAATGCCAAAATTTAATTTTCTTGGCAGCATTAGTAATTTCATTTGTAAAAATGTATTGTTGGTAATTCTTTTTCCCAAAATATATTGCTGGTATTTTTACTATGAAAATGTATTTTTATACTTTCATAGTGTTTTGACCTCAGTTTGGAGGTTAACTATTTCCCTAGAAGGACAGAGCAAAGTAAAGAGAATCTGATACAACTATGCACTGAATTTTTAGTTTAACTCCATATTTGAATTTACATGATAAATCTACATGATAAATGCAAAAGCTTTCATTTGGTGGGGTGAATTGACAAGGAAGGTGATTATTTTGGCAAATACTAGGACCTTGAATAAGTTCTCGCTGTTTTCCAACAGATGACGTTCCAAGAACTGCGTTCGTGTAGTTTCAGATGGTAACGCATCTCTAGGGAAGTACTATAAACAAGCTTGAAATTCAGTGTATGTCATTTCACCGAAGTGTAAACAACTTTGTTTTTCATAGCGTTAAACATGTCAGATTTCATGCCCCCAAAAATGTATTTGCGGGGATTTTTACTGCACTATGTTATTCAAAAGAAATCTGCAGCCGAAGCAGACAGAATTCTTGTTGAGACTTACGGTGGCCATGTTCTGTCGGAAGCAATATGCAGAGATTGGTTTAGACGATTCAAAAATAATGATTTTGATGTTGAAGATAAAGAACGATTTGACAAATTGAAAAAGGTTGAAGATGAAGAATTGGAAGCATTACTTCATGAAGACTCATGTTAGGCACAAGCTGAACTTGCAGAATCATTAGCAGTTAATCCCACAACAGTTTCAAAACGTTTGAAAGCATTAGGATTGATTCAAAAGCAAGGACATTGGGTGCCGTACAAGTTGAAGCCGAGAGAAGTCGAATGGCGTCTTGTCACATGTGAACAGCTGCTTCAACGACAGAAAAAGAAAGGTTTTTTGTATCGTATCATGACTTGTGATGAAAAGTGGATACATTATGATAACTCTAAGCATAGAATATTGTGGGGTAAGCCTGGCCATTTAGCAACATTGAGGCAAAGCCGAATATCCATGGTTCAAAGCTTCTTCTCTGCATTTGGTGGAATCAACTACAATTGATGTGTTTGAGCTGAGACAGGACAAAGTGATTTTTCAACATGACAAGGCCTCTTGGAAACACTTAAATGGGAAGTCCTGCTCCACCCTCCGTATTTACCAGACATTGCCCCATCTGATTATCACTTGTTCTGATCAATGGCACATGGTCTGGATGAGCAGCCCTTTCATTCTTACAAAGATGCCAAAAAATGGGTCGACTTGTGGTTAGCCTCAAAAGACGTGTCGTTTTTCCCACATGGAATTCAAATGCTTCCAGAAAGATAGGAAAAATTAGTGGCTAGCGATGGACAATACTTTTAGTGACATGTCTCTAACTAATTTTGTAAATTCTTTTGCATCTTTTAAAAAAATCCTCTTGCAAAAAAACATAGACAAAAAAATATTCTTATCATAATGTGCTTCTCATTTTAAACTGAAGTTTTTTTTCTCTCATTTCATTCATCTTAAAAAAATAAGATATTTTTAGAAAATTAGTAATTTAAAAATCTATTAATGACATATTTCATTTGAGTTCTTTTCTATCTGCTGTGTTAACCCAATTAGACTGTGGGATTATTCCACCTAATTTGCCGTTACGCCAGGTACGTGGCATCGTATTCAGGACTATAAAAGGAAGGCTTATAAGCCGCCTTTCTCACTTTTGCTCATCTCACTTGTTGGTTATTGTGGCATATGGGGGCCTCCTTACTTTGCTCATTTCAGCAGTAGCAGCAATGGAATTAATCAGCAGAGAATGATCAGAAGTCTTAAAAATGCTGACTGAGCCATATTCGGCATTTTCAAATCTTTCTTTTCAGTGGCCACTATCTTCAAGGCCCAAGTCGAAGGGCTACTTACAACCATTGTTGAAGAAGACACATGGCTTGTCCTGGAATTTGCTAGAAATCTCTCTTTGTGACACCTACCCGAAAACCTTGCTGCAGAAGAGTCGTATCAGTTCTAGCAGCCTAACACTCAGATTTCTTGTTTTTTGTTGGAACAAGCAGAGAAATCTCTTTCTACAAAACATCCACTCAACGGAAGATCGTTGTTCCTTTAATATACCACTATTTTTCACTCTCTTTCAACTGCAAATAAAAGCTGTTAAACAGTTACTGTGAGCCTTGAATTTGTTCATTCCACTCTATACACTGACGAGCGTGCACATACACAGCCAGGAAAAATTCTTGCATTACATTCTGGTAGGGAGTGTTCAGTCCTTCCAGTCAGGGGCGGGGAGACTTCTTTCCCCAACGTCTTAATTTGACACAACCACATAGCACACAAACACTATTCCTTTACTTTTGAATGTTTTTCTTTCTGAGTTTTTAAAGGGAAAGCTATCTTTTATAGACATAAATGTAATTTTCCGTTTCTCTTCTTTTGTGACCTATGTTGTTCATTATATAAAATATATATGTAAACAAAATCTTCCACGTGTTGGATTCGTTTCTTTGAAAGACAGCAACTTCTTCCTTTCTAAAGTAGTACCTGTTCATAACAAGTCCACAGATTTTTTCGGCCTATTGACCTCATTCTGGTTGGATTGTTGCAACATATCTCACGGCCTTTCTCAGCTGCACAATCATTATAGCAAAGAAAAGATTGGTCAAAAGAGAAACAACAAATAAAAGGAGTGTAAGCAGGAGTGGGGGAATGTCAGTTCTCAAAATTCAGTCAGTCAGTTATGTGCCATTTGGAGGAGGCACGGTGGAGTAATGGATAGCGGCTTGGATTGAGGAATCAGGGAGCTGAGTTCGAATTCCAGTCGAATCCATTACATTCACTTACGTGCTAATACCCTTGGGAAAGGTGTGAATCCTCTTCTTTTTCCTTCACCTATGGGTAAATAGCAGGACAGACTGGGTTCTATAGCCTTGGATGGCAACTGGTCTAGGAGAAGGAAAACTCTGAATTCAAAACCTACGGAGGGTGAATGGAGTCTCTCTGAGCCTTGATTG